TTTTGTGGCCCAAAAATCTCCATTTTTGTTTTTTTTTTTTTTTTTTTTTTTTTTTTATCAACAATTCTTTTAAATACGTATTTTATTATTTAATAATTTATAACATTGTCTATAGAAATGAAATGACTTGTAAACATTTTTATTTAAGCTTCTGAAAACCCACCTTGACCAAATTGAATGTAATACTCTTTTTTTCTTGGTTGTCTGTTCCTGTGTTGAACTAAGGCAGGGATGGGCAACTGGTGGCCTGCGGACCACGTTCTGCCTCCCACCGCACACTAAGAGGCCACTGAAAAGAACAAAAAAAAGAAAAACTTTTTACAAACCCCCCAAAATCTACAAAAACGACTGATAAATATTATAGGTTTTTCACGAAAAAGAAAATGGGTTTAAGTGCGGGAAAAAAAATATCAGACATTTTTTTTTTTTTTTTGTGGATTTGGAATGATATGGGGCAAACATTACGTCAATGATAAAATAAATAAATATAAAAAAAGTGGCTTGATTTTTGTGGAAAAACAAAATGCTCTAAGTGAATTCTTGAACTCGTTGGTTTGCTGTTCAGCAGTTTTGTGCCATCCTTGATTGTTAATTGTTTACATTGAGCCTTTTGCACTGGAAAAAATAAACTCACAATGTGTTTATTTTGTTGTTTTTTTGTGCGTAAAACTCCTTGTTGTTGGGTTATGATAGTGGATCTTTTATTCATGCACTGACATATGTATTATGAAAAATTAAAAATATATACATGGCCTCCCGAGTAGGACTGATGAAAAATTGTGACCCCCATCCAGCATTTAAGTTGCGCATCCCTGAACTAAGGTGTGAGAAGGAAAGAGTCCTCCATACGGTGCAATTAACTTATTTATTTGTCTATTTGAACCGTGTGTCAAAACAAATGGAGCAGAAAGCATTATATACACATCATCATAGCTAAGCTGACAGGCACATGCGCTAACAGTCCGTCTAATTTACACAAGAGGCTATTAGGGACAGAAAAGGAGGGTTAAAAAAAAAAAAAAGCACAAAAGCGCATCAACATTAACATCCCAAAACAAGGAAGCGGAAGCACAAGAAACTTTTGATCTCTTCCATTTTTTTTTTTTTTTTTTGTGGAGGCAATTCCATGACTGACAATAAATAGCTTACATTTAAACTGGTAGTATTTCTCATAGCCTCTTTGATGCAGCTTTTACCCCCCACCCCCAATAACAAATTTCATTATTTGAGGACTTGAAAACAAGAATCAAATCAAGAAATGCCATTCTTTAAAGTGAGATGAATTGAATTAAATAGTCAAGGAAGAAAAAAAAATTGCCAAAGAAGTTCCCTGGGATTAGCGCTGAAGCTTTGGTCCTCTAGCCGCTCGTTTTGGTCATTTTCAACAATCAAACTTCCCACCGACTTGACTCAGCAACACTGACTGGGAATCATCAGTCTTAGTTTGTTCAAGAGTTCAGGAGTTCCTGGTGAAGGTGGTGTGTATGTGTGTGTATGTCTGCGTGCGTGCGTGCGTTGCGAAGGAGGGGCGTGAGGGGTCTTGACGCCCTTTACAGGTAGTCCAGCTCCAGTGCGTGGCTCAGAGCCTCCAGGTCAGCCCGGCAGGACACCCTCCAAAATGGCATGTTTTTCTGAGGACGCACAAAAGGACACCTTTCAATGAATTCAATACATGACAAAACAAAATTTCATATTCATGACGATCACAACAAAAATCATGACAGCTATTGTCACAATTGTCGCACCAAAAGCATTTCAACATGTGATTTTCATTCGAAAAATGATGAAATCAACTACGTGATGTACTTTGTGTACATTAGAAATAATGACAACAAAATAGCAACACCCAAATGAGTTTTGATGCATCGTATCAAAATGGGATGACAGAATGGAAATGTCTTTAATTTAGTTTCATTTGGATTCATATTTAAATGAACATTTAATTTTTATATTTATCATGAATATTTAGATTCAAGACGGTGCCCGCATACAGGCACTCTACATTCAATGTCCTAGTCAGATGTTTTTGTTTTTTTTTAATCAAATGTTTCCACATGCCACTCCTTAGAAATATATCCATCCATTTTCCATTCCACTTATCCTCACAAAGGTGCCGGAGCCTATCCCAGCTGTCTTCGGGCAGTAGGCGGGGGACACCCTGAACTGGTTGCCAGCCAATTGCAGGGCACACAGAGACGAACAA